ATAGTTCACAACCAGGTCCCCGATGGGGAGGTAAAATCAATTCAGTTCAGCTCAATTCTGCTTTATTAATATCGGAGCAATTTATAAAAAAAAAAGGTAAAACTGAATGCAATACTCAGTAAAAGGAAAACTTGCAGCAAAATCCAAAACAGAACCAGACCTGGAAGGGTGGATATCATTTTTTACAGATAAGACTTGTTTTTTTTTTTTTTACAGCTCACTGTTGATTATAGTTTTAAATCTCTGTAACTCTTTTATTTTCAGAGGAAATGGATGCAAACTTTCCTGCAGTTAAAACTGAACAGGTTATGCGGATAGATCATCTTTGAAATGATGTGATGCTCTTATCATTTCCTAAGTCACAAGTCAAGATGTCTGCTTCAATCTGGCCCAGTTTCTCTTGTAGATTGCAAAAACGAAAATAAACATAATGTGATATATATATATATATATATATATATATATATATATATATATATATATATATATATATATATATATATATATATATATAATAGTATTTTCAAAAATACTTTTTGCATTTTAATGGCTTTATCTGGTAAGTTGCTACATTTGGCAAAATGTTATGATATCTTGTAAGGCAAGGCAAGACAAATTTATTTATGTAGCACAATTCAGTACAAAGACAATGCAAAGTGCTTTACATGATTAAAATATAAGAAAATAAAACAGAATCAGAACAAGTAGAAGAAAAAATAAAAAAATAAATAATAATAAAAAAAATGCAGAAACAAGAAAGAACATTAAAAGCAGTTGGACTAAAGAAAAAAAAGATGAACTAATGATGTTTTAGTTGAACTTTTTAACTAGAACAATCAAAGGCAATCCTAAACAAATGTGTTTTTAGTCTTTATTTAAAGGAACTCAGACTTTCCGCACTTTTACAGTTTTCTGGAAGTTTGTTCCAGATAAGTGGAGCATAGGAACTAAATGCTGCTTCTCCATGTTTAGTTCTGGTTCTAGGTATGCAGAGCAGGCTGGATCCAGAAGACCTGATTGGTCTGGAGGGTTGATACACTTATAGCAAGTCTGTGATGTATTTAGGTGCTAAGCCATTCAGAGATTTATAGACTAACAGAAGTATTTTAAAGTCTATTCTCTGAGATACAGGGAGCCAGTGTAAGGACTTTAGAACTGAGGTGATGTGCTCTGCTTTCTTAGTCTTAGTGAGGACACAGGCAGCAGCGTTCTGGATCAGCTGCAACTGTCTCCTCCACTTTTTAGGCAGACCTGTGAAAACACCATTGCAGTAATCGATTCGACTAAAAGAAAACGCATGGATCACTTTTTCCAGATCATGCTGAGACATTAGTCCTTTAATCCTGGAAATGTTCTTCAGGTGATAGAAAGCCGACCTTGTAATTGTCTTTAAATGCTTTTGGAGGTTCAAGTCTGAATCCAGCACTACACCTAGATTTCGGGCCTGATCAGTGGTTACTACAACCATGTCACCAGTGGTTGTAATGCCTGTATTTAGTTGCAAGATAAAATAAGAAAAGTGGATTGCTTATTCCTTTTTTGATACAAATAGCTTTAGTTGACTGTATTTGGTAACGTCAGAGCTGTGGGTGTTTAGTAGAAATCTCAACACATTACATTTCATACTTTTAATTGAAAATTATTTCAAAACATTGTATTTTTGCATTGGTCAGTCATGAGAGGTCAGTTTAATTTAATGCAACAAAATAAAACATTATTTAAATGACGTCACATATTGTGCAAAATTTGATTCGATCCAGTCCTTACAAGCCACTTTACACTGCTATGCAGTAGTTCCTTCTCTTCTCCCTGGAGGGCATTTACTATGCAGAGCAATAAAATTTGTTTTTCATTAAACACCACTACAATCTCTTGCACATGCATGTGTCAATCCCCATGAAAGCAATATTTCAGCTGTTGAAAACTTGTCTTTCAGAACCTATTTCCAGAACATTGATAATTTAGGTTAGATCCGCTATGGCAGTCTGCTATAGCCTTTTATTGTTATCATCCCAATGTGCCGATGCATTCAGCAGGTATGGAAATCTATTTTCAATCTGCTGGAAATACATATTTGACACCATATATAACTTTGAAGGGAAGCTTTTTGTCATAGCAGCTATTTCCTGTCCTCAGTGTTAGAAATGTAGAAAATCCACCTGCTAGTTGTTTTTTTTTCTAAGAACAGAAGTTGCATTTTTTATCCATATTGCAAAAAACACTCACAAAATATTAGCTTATATCTTTTTTAAGGTTCTTGGAACCTTTTGGATGCTTCTTTTATGATTTTCAGTCATATTCCATTCTACATTATGCAGTGAGGATTTGTTGTATTCATATTTCTTGTGAAACCACTAAGTGACATGCAGGGGCATGGCTAAAATGAGGCAGCTATTAAAATCTACATATTTAGCCAGCCACTTAGCTTATCACAATCCAAAGTCTATTTTTATTGTTTAGCTACTAGAATTAGTTTTTTTTTTTAAGCTGGTTTGGTTTTACGCTAATGATTTAAACAAAGATGACCTGAGAAGAGTTTTCGTCAAATGATTTCCCACGATGCATTCTGAAAGCTTTATCATGTCAATAAAGGCTTTAGCTCCTTCGCTTTTCTCTTTAACAGCTATAAACCATAAAAATTACTCTTTTGCTAATTCCTGAATGCATTGAAAATAAATAGTCTCATTGAAAATTAAAACAATTCAATAAAGTCCCCCAGGTTATGTTACAGAGGAATCTGTGAATAAAGATATCTCTTATTTACTCATTTACACAACAGTTAAAACGTCAATACCTTCATTTCATTTTGGTTTTTATACATGAAAACCGAACAAAATCAAAATATATTTCTATTTCTTGTCTTTTTTTTTTTTTTACAAGATCATAAAAAATCCATAAAAGATGTATTCTACCTAGTATTTGAGAGCAAGAGCCTGATGTAAGTTTGGAGCTGAAAATATATTTTTATTTTTAAATCATTGGTTTGTTTATTGTAACAACACATGCCTTCAGAAGCCTTTTTATGATTAATTTGATGGATGGAAAGGAACCATCCTATCATGTGTGAAAAAGAACTGTTGACATTGACACAGAACAAAAACAGATTAATTACAAAGCTGACATTTTAAACAGCCATTGGTATCTTATATTGATGGTTAGTATCGCTGGCATTGCTGCCAAAAAGTCCATGTGCTTTGCTTGCAGACTCGTTTGGCCAAAACTTTAGATGTGAGATTTTTTTTTTTTTATTCTGCCAGCTCTCCTAGCAAGTCCTTTTCAATGCTTCCTTCAGAAGGATAAAACAGGGCAAGTTTACTGCAGTACTTCCTGTTATCTATTGACCTTAACTTCCTATAAAACACAGTACATACAGCACAGTAGAAGATCCAATCTTGTTTTTTTCCCTTAAAGGTTTTGTACCTCCTCTGAAATCATTATTATTCCCATCCCTGATAATTAAATAAATATATTTTTTAGCATTTGTCCTGCATTGGCAACTTCTGCACCAGTGTCTTTGAAAAGGCCACCTATGAAGGCTCCATTAACAGTTTACTGTACCTTCTAATCTGCCGTTCATCAAACAGAGACGGTAAACCTTTGGTTTATTGTAATCATCAGCAGATTTCTCAGAGTACCTTTCATATAAATCTATATTTTTGAGTAAAAAACAAAAATTAAAAACAGCTACCAGTCAATGTCTGTTTAATGATCACAGCTTGTTTTACTCTATTAATGTTGATGTGCTGGCTTATGCCCAATTATGGCAATTAATATCTAAAAAAACGTAAGGTGTCCTTTAAATATCAAATTCATGTCTGATTATTCAACTTTCATTTGCTTTCACTTAAAATTCTGGACCTGAAGTCTCTCTGCGGTGCAAACAACCTTGTCGACATCCGTTCTCATCGTTTACCCCCCGGGATGCTGGCAGAGTCATGCCATTTCCCCCCCATGAAAAATGGCAGTCCTCAAAGTAAATGAACATTCACATTCACAGTATCCATTCTCATTTCATTTAGCAAATGTACTTAGCTGTTGCCACGCAACAATGCTTTCACCCAGCTAAAGCCTCTTCCCAGCCCCAGCTGCCTCTCCCCTGTCTCCTCTGCATCTAAAGTCACGGTGTCACACTTACTTGAGAGTGAGCCCTAATTTACCGCTCTCTTTTTTTTGGTCACAGTTGCTATTCGATCCACGTAGGAGAGGGGGTAATGAGATTGAATCTTGATGCGCTTTCTGGGTCCCGCTGACTTGTCTCTCTCATTGTGGGACGGAGGACAGTGTGGAGCTTTCCCTGATATTACCTATCTCTGCATGAGAGCATGCTGGTCGCTTTTCTATCCCACCAGGCACTGATCCAATAAAACACAACACGGGGCTGTGATCGATACCAAACGTACCACTGTCATGCACCCTACCAGTCTCACTCATAGACACCTATTAGGGGATAATTGATTGGCCTACTGTTCCTTATTCCTTTGATATGGTGCTTTCATTAAATCACCAGAAGCACAGGTTAGTTTTTTGCGTCCACTGCTGCTGGGAGCTGAAGAAGGGCTCAGAGCGTGAGCAGTGGAGTTTGTGTACTGGATAGCTTAAGATTAAGAAGATCTAGGCCCTCAGCTGCTCACACAGAACTGCAGAAATAGAAACATGAGGTACAGAATAATGACTGCAGGATGGTAAAAAAAAAAAAAAAGCAAGTGTTAGAGAGCGAGGTATTGTCTGTTTTTCTTTTCTCTGCTTGTGTTTAAATTCATTATATCCTGGAGGCATGCAGGGGATAATCTGCTTGTTTTGTCTTCACTGCCTGACTGTCTTAAAAAAAAAAAAAAAACAATATTTAATTTCTAACTGGTGTTTATTCTTGTCTTTCTTTCCCACCCATTGCCTTCTTATCTCTCTCCCACCACTCCCTACCCTGCATTTTCAATTTTGGATCATTCCTGTTTTTCTTTTCTTTTCCTGTCACCCCCCCTCTATCACCTCTCCTCACCTAGCTCCACACTGACATGGACAGGAATGATGGCCGTACCAAGTATATCCTCCGAGGTGAGGGGGCGGGCTCAGTGTTTGTGATAGACGAGAAAACAGGCAACATTCATGTGACCAAGCCCCTGGACCGGGAAGAGAAGGATGAGTATCGCCTCATCGCCACTGCCACCGACAGGCAGACTGAACGTCCCCTGGAGCCGTCATCACAGTTCATAATTCGGGTGCAGGACATCAATGACAACCCTCCTGTCTTTGACGAAGGCCCCTACAGCGCCACTGTACCTGAGATGGCAAACATAGGTATTGGAATGGGGGGTTTTGGGATTTTTTTATAATTTCATTGAGAATAATATAATACAACATTGTGAAAATTTGATATTCTCTATCACCAATTAAGCATAATTGAACAGAATGGATACAATCCTTCAAATTTAATGTTTTGAGATGTACTTAGATTTTTAGGTTTTCACTGCATCGAATAGAATCATTGTTTTTAATAACTTCCCAAATATCCAGTCATATTTAATAAATGACATTATTCTATAAAAGTTTGTTTCTTTCACTAACTTAGTTCACAATTAAAAAAAAAGGTTAATTACAAAGAGACTGATGTTTTAAGCCTTTGATTCTGCTTATTGGAACAATTTTCCGCCTACATCTAATTAAACATGACTTTGAAGATCACGCTGCATCAAAACACTAAAAAACATTTAAGTTTAGGATTATGGGCTTAATGTATTTTTTTTTAACACCTGCTTTGAATTCAAAGGGTGGTTTTGATTTAACAAACAACAATTAAGACCAAATCTAAATAAACCCCTGAATAATTTCTAGTCCTGCAACATATTTTCCTCTGAATAACAGCTTTCTGACTTCAAGGTTATACAGGCATGTCCAAAGTCGCTCCCAGAGGGCCACTGTCCTGCAGGTTTTAGAGGTTTGTCCGCTTCAACGCAGCTGATTCTGATTATTGCAGTTCAATAAAAGCCTCTTAATCAGCTATCAATGGAAATCAGCTGTGCTGAAGCAGGAAAACCTGCAGGACAGCGGCCATCAAGGACCGACTTTGGACTTGGATATTCCAACTAGCCTGTGATGGCCAATGTTTGACAGTAGATTGATGAGAGCCTTTTTATCCCAAATATTTTATTGCACTTACCTCCAAAAGGAAGTTTCTTCAGTCATTATTTTGGATACCAAACAAAAAAAAATGTTGAACATTTATTTGAGCAAGCAAAAGACACAGATAGCTCCAAAAAATGTGTCCACTTTTATGAATTTATTTTTTTAAGTTAATGTGACCCATGGACAGTATTTTATTCTAGTGTGAACTATGTGAATAATAACAGTGAAGCTATATTCCCCTTAAATCAGAACTAATACAGAACTTGACCAGTTTTTTCCCCTAATATGCTCTAAAAATTTTACTGTGCGCAAAACAATCATTAGGAGGACACCTTGTTCCTTAAGGCACTCCATGGGTTTTAGTGCTAGAGAGTAAATACTGATATGCACCCTAATAATTGTCTCAAACTCCCCACTGATTGTAAAGTAAATCTCCGAACATTAGCTTGTACTTTCAAATTAAAGTGTTATTGAGCAAACTAAGGTTATAATTATATCTTAATTAAAATAAACATTTCTTAGCAATATCATTCTTTTTAAAGAATGAATTTGACACTTTTGACTCGCCCCAGTCTCTGCTTATAATTTAGCAAACATGTTTAAATCTTATAAACTCCTGATAAACTTTGAGATATTTCTAAGTAATAGTGGATGATCTTTTACACACTTTGCATGTGGAGAAGTGTGGATTGGTGGCCTTGTGGTTAGGGCATGGAGCTTGGAATCCTGAAGTTCAAGCTCCACTCCCACAGACTGCCACTCTGGGTCTCTGAGTAAGACCCTTAACACCACACTGCTCCTTGGGCGCTGCACAATGGCAGCCCACAATGCTCCCCAAAGGGATGGGTTAAATGCAGAGGTAAATTTCTCCAATGTGAGATCAATAAAAGTTCAATTATTATTATTATTTTTATGTCTAACCAAACAAGCATCATATCGTTCTCTAAAGTGCAAGTTTACGCTACAGAAACTCATTCTGACAGAACTAGATATCTCTTGAAGCACAGACTTCAGGAGAGGTACTTTATATCATGTAACAAAAGCCTTTGTCTCTAATTATACTCCTACTTTAATTGTTTGTAAAGCATTAGTCCATCTAGACCTCAGTCATTTATTAGTTTTTAATTTATAAATCATAAAAGCCTTTCATGCTAACAGGAAACAGGAAGGAAGCAAGATGGCGGTTGCCTTTTTAATATCTGGCTGGGGGACTACCGATGAAAATTAGCACTCCTTAGCTAACTCGGGTATATTTACATTGTTTTAATGTTGATTAATGTACACTGTCCCCTTTCAAATAAACAATAAATAAAATGAAAATGCTACATGCTGTAAATATTTTTGTACATATTCCAAAAAATATTGAAAGAAAAATCTTCACACCTGCTGCTTTGGAATTAAAACTAATAATCGCAAAGCTTAATATTTGCAATGCTGCAGTAACAGTAATTTCCCTGATATATTGCTAGAGTTTCCATTACTCTACCAACAACCAGATGTTATTTTTACTAGAATCTTAGAAATTCTTTTATCTTTGTTTAATTTTTCATGGCCTTTCGCCACAATGCCGAGATCTGAGAGCACAAAGAAATGATAAATAATCTCTGTGACAAGGATAAGAACTTAAACTGACACACTGAGCTATCGAAGTTACATCCTGTATACAAAATAAGGCTGTAGTATTTTATTAGTTTGCTGTTTAATCAAAATAAAGTACCAGCCAGTGACTGCTGTCAAGAACCAAAGTGATGGATGTTCCACTTGAGCACAGCTAGACAGTGCTTTATTATTTCCGTCTGAGAGGGATGAGTTGTCTGCCGACATTTTGTTCAAAAGCTTTTTAGCCTCTACAGAGATGTCCTCTGCAGTGAGAAAACTATAAAATACGGAAAAAACACAAAGTGGCTCCTACCGGCACTAAAATAAACCAATAATGAACTCAGCATTGGAGCTTTAAAAGCCTCTATTAGGTTAGCCGTAATAGAAAAACCTGTTATTGGAATCACTTAAGTAGGAACATTAACCAATGTGTGCAACACAACGCAGTATACATAAATGTCTTTGTTATGAAGCTCTGACAGGTAAAGTTACACAGCCGTTATTTAAAATGAACCACGGCCGTAGATTTATTGTTTTTAACCACAAAACATCCATCCATCCTCTGAGTCTTACTGTATCTGTCAGGGTCATGGTGGTCCGGTGCCCTTCTCCAGCAGTCTATGGGAAAAAGGCTAAGAACACCCTGGACAGGTCGGCAGTCTATCGCAGAACTCAAAATTTTTCTACACAATTTCAAGCTCGATTCCATTGAACTTTTAATGCTGAGGATTAAACTACAAAAGTATAGAAAGAACATCATCAGCATCTATTATTAAGAAAAAACTTACTAATAAGCTTACACATTGTGTTCAGTTATTTTTACATAAATTATTTAAATGCACAAAATCAACCAACTCAACTGCTGTTTCAAGTTTCTGTAACCAAGGATCAGATCTGATATAAGAAATGCAGAATGAAGAAGTATATTCCTCCTTTATTTTCTATTTTGACTTAAGGTTTTTTTTTGCCTCATCTAAATGATTTTTGTCTTCAAAAGGAAAATTTAAAAAACATTTTTACTGCAAGATGCACACATTTGCTTTTTAATTTCAGATTTCTAAAATCCTCAAACTGTTTCAAAATATTCAGCAAAGATGATATCATTCAACACAATATACAGCATTTGAATAGAGATGCTTATTGTAAACAGTTAGGAAAAATCCAATCCCTTAATTGACATATGTGGAAAAAGTTTATCCTGATTTTGTACCAAATCATCTGTGGTGTCTTACAACTTTGAAAGCTGAATTTTATTGAAAAAAAATATATATCAAAGATTAGAACTTGCCTGAGAAAGTGTAATAGATTGAAAAGGTCCCTAAAAGCCAGACATCAGCCAAAGAAGTTAAGAAAAGAAAGAAACTTGTTAATTTTGATTTATCAGGAAAAGGTTAGAAAGCCATTCTCAAAGTGGGGAGACTCTGGCAAACCATTTTTGGAGCTATTAGCCACAAATGGAGAAAACAGGAAAATGCATGCTACTTTCCAGAAGTAGCTGACTGAAATTACTCACCACAAAGCAGAACAACATCCGAAGAACTTGATACCTCCTTTACCTCTGTTAAGTTTTGTGTTCTTGACCTGACCATTAGAAACTGTATGTGAACACGGCCCACATAGCATAGTTTCAAGATAAAAACAAAAGCTGATGAGCAAAAAGAAACAGAAAGGCTTGACTGAGTTTTGCCAGAAAACGTCTTAATGTTCCTAAAGATGTTGGGAGAAAAATGTGGACTGAGGAGGCAAAAACTGAACGGAGTGGAAACGGAAGGGGAAGGAGAAAGTTTGGGCATCATTTTTTGGCTTCAAACTAAACCGCACTTGAGTTCAGCGGCTGGACAGTGATCCAAAACATACCAGCCAAATCTACTTGGGTTAAGAAAAACATAATAAATATTGTGGTGTGGTTAAAGTTCTGTGCTGAATCTGATTCCAATGCTGTGATATGACCTTAAAAATTTAATGATACTCAAACATCTGCCTTTGTGGCAGAAGTACAATAATTCTGTGAAATTAAATGGACCAGAATTTTAACACAAAGCTGTAGCGCAAACTCTGGATTCCAGTAGCTGCTGATGAGAATGGCCCAACCAGTCATTGGCTCTACAGAGCAACCACAGAGCTATGTGTGTCACATTCTCCCCTTTTTATGAGAAACCCCTTAATTTAACTGCTGCCTTTTGTGTTTATTTGTTGCAACACTGAATGTGTTTTGTGATCTAAAAGTGACAAGCACAAAAAGGGATGTGGCAGGAACTTTCTCATTACAGTACATGCAGAGGTGACAGGTAACTACTGTAGTATGAAAGAAAAAGAAAAAATATTACTTAATGCTTTTTTTCAAATGTTAAATGAAGGGCCAAATAAATATGCCCTTAGCTGAGAGGTCAGATGGAGCGCATTTTTTTCTCTCTTTTTGGCACAACACTGGCTCTCTGTTTACCATCCACTCCTGCCAGGCAGGGAAAAATCTCAGAGCTGGAGTTGTTTTTGCTGGCTATGTCAGTGCACAAAAATCCCTCTAAAATCCTAGAATAAAATGCAAATAACAATCCTATTATAATACAAAGCAGAAA